CCTGCCTGCAGCCCGCAGCCGGAACCGCACCCACGCACAGGAACGCAGCTCGGGCACCGTGCAGGATGCTGCCAGCAGGAAGCAAAGCCACCAGCTCTCCTGTCTGGGTGAGCTTCTTTTCCCCCACACCCCCTCTGCACCCCCCCAAGTTCCCTGCCAGGTTGAAGGTAGGTGGTGGTGGCACGTTGCTGTAGAGCCCAGCATGCAAGTGGTGAGAAACTAGTTGCAGGGCTCGGGGGCAGGTAGCAGGGGTCTGCTCTGCCCCAAGTTTGTGTCTCCCCCAACAGCCCTCCGCACCCTTAGACCCCCCAGTAAGCACTGGGAAAGTCCCCCTCGGAGCTGGGGTCTCCTCTGTGCCCGACTGCCTCCCTCGTGTCCCGAGTGAAAACAGAGAGAAGGGGTGGGGGGAAGAAAGGGGGGGGAGATGAAGAGATAATTTCCTCAGCAAGTCATCGTCGTTAATGAAGTTTTACAAAAACAGATACAACCAAGGAAAAATAAAATTTCACAGGTGATAAATTTTTCCAATTTCCCTGGCAGAATTCGATAGGATTGTTAAATTAAGAGTGAAGGTGTCTGTTAGGAAGCAACGAGCAGTGATGGGTAATTTTATAGAGTGGAAAATTGAATCAAATTGCTACATTAAAACACAGCTCCTCTGAGAATCTGCCCAACGCCCAGGCTGCTCCGGTGCAGCCGTGGGGTGCTGGGCCTGCCGGTACCCCGGCCGTGCCTGGGGCTGGGGGCTGCCGTGGGGCGCTGGACCAGGGGTGGGTGCTGGGAGCTGCCCATGGGATGTAAAGGCATTTTCCCGAGGGTGGTGTGGCCGAGGCCGTGATGCTCTCCGCACAGGGGGATGCAGCCCCCAGGAGATGCGTTTTTTGGCGTTTCCCTCTGATTCATGGCTATAAAATCCAGATCCCAGCTGAGATGAGACGCCCAGGCCCTGGGAAGGCAGAGCATCGCTTTCCCACTCGGAAAAGCACCTGGATGCAACAGGCTGGGGTGTGGAGGGGAGCTGCTCGTGTCCCCATGGGTGCCGTTCAAGGCTTGCACGGCTCAAAATCTGCAAGGACTGTGCCTGGGGCTGGCGTGCCGCAGCATGAGCCGCGGTGCAGGGAGGGCTCAGCACCCCAGGATCAGTGCCTTTGGGCGCCAGGAAGAGCTGGGACCTGGATTTTCTTCCGAGCACCTCCTGTGATAGGCACGGAGTGAGCGGGCAGCAGGGCAGAGGCTTTGTAAAGAAAGGGAAACTGAGGCACAGAGGACTGGAGCACGGGAGAGTGCCTTGTCCAAGCTGTGGGAGCAGTCAGCTGCCCAGCTGACGTCTCAGGTGGGCGATGCAAACAGAGGGAGGGTCCGGGGCTTTGAGTTTGGGTTAGAGCATGCCCCATTTCATCAAATATGGAATAAAATGGCCCAAGCTGGGGCAGGGAGAGGGAGGCTTTCCAGAGCAGCAGCAGCGTTTTCTCCATGGCCCGTGTTTTCCTGTGCCAAGGAAGCTTCCCAGGGAACGTGTGTCTGTGCCAGGAGGTGCGAGAAGGGCTCTGGGAAGAGGGTTCCTGAGGACAGCCCGGCTCTGGGATGGAAGCGGTGCCTGTGGGATGCCAGAGGGGTGTGCACAGCACGGAGAGGAGGTGGGGGGTGGCCGTAGGTGCAGGTGTCACCCACAGCGGTGGGGAAGCGATGCCACCCCGCTTTGGAGGATGGCTCTGGGGTGTTCGTGGCTGGTTCGACCACCCCCCATCGCATGCCGGGCTGGGATTAGGGGATTTGGTGCCGTTGGTTAAAGCATAAAGGAATCCAGACGCGAGGGTTTGGGGTGGGTGTGTAGGAATGATGGGGGGGGAGCGCTGTTACAGATACATTTATGTTCCCTTTTTACAAATGCAAAGAGCAGGCAAAAGCCACTTTCAATAATTTATTTTAAAATCAATGCTAATGAGGTTCTGTCTCGTCAGCGGCCGAGTTTCACAATAAAGTCTGATTTATTTAGAAAAGATCTTTGGTGCCGCTTCCCGTCTAATGGGGGAGCAGTCGCGGTGACCCTCCGACTCGGGATGCGATCCGTAGTTGGCAGCGGAGGGCTGACCTGGTTTGCATTGATCAGTGCCCAGCGGGACGGCTGAGGCCGCATCCTGGAAGGGTGCTGGGCAGCGGGATCCGCACAAGACCCAGGCTCGGTTCCCGTTGGCTCTGCCTAAAGGTGACAGCAAAGCCACATCCCCTGGGATGCACCAGGGACACTTCTGTGCCAGGCTCAGCCGTGCCCAGGCTGCCCCGTGCTGCCCAGCAGCCCTTCGCCAACAGCGGTGCCAGGGGAGCGGATGGGCACTTTGCCGGAGCGTTGGCTTTCTGAAACGTGTCGGAATCGGGGTTTGGTTCTATTATTTTATTAGGTTGCTTCTAGTCTTTGTGGGTGCAGAAGGAAGCCTGGGCTGTGATGGCAGCTAACGTGGGTGCTGTGCACCGACCCCCCCCAGCACCCCGAGCAGCTCAGGCTGGGTGGGTTGTACCCGGGTTGGTGTTAAATAATCTTATTTCAACTTATTTGCTTCCAGCCCCTCTGTCCTGAGCCTTTTCCATTATATCATTTCTTAATTATTTTCTTGTGTCCTCTTTTTTTCTTTCCCTGCCCTCCACTGCCTGGGCTCCTCGTTCTTCTCCTTAATTTCTGTTTCTGTGCCCCGTCCTTCCTCGCGTTTCTGTCCTGGCATTTCTCCTCTTCGTCACGTTTTCCCCGGCCCGCGAGTCCCGTGCAGGAAGCATCTCTTCCTCTGGGGCACTCGGCAAAGTGCCGCCTAAATTTATGAGGCTATAATAAGTGATTTGTTTTTAGCAGTGTTAACAACAATTCATGTTTTTATGCAACACGTTTTAAAATATTAGCTGCGACTTCCTCCCTTCCACTCTTCACAATTAAGCCAGGAATTTATTATTCTGACAGTCGGATGCTCTCGCAGCCCTCTGCCCGCCTGGGGCTTTGGTGCAGCAGCAACGCTCAGCCCTTCCCCTGACTTCTCTGCTCTGTTTTTATCCCCCCAGATGAGGAGCTGGAGCCCCCATTCCCAGAGGACAGTGAGGATGCTCGAAGCAGACAGAGAAGGGGTAAGAGCCCACCCTGCTTTGACTGACCCAAAGGACCTCCAGGTCATGGTGGTTGGGGGGGGTCTGAGTCCCCTTCGTGTGTCCTGGGGTGCAGGTGGGGATGGAGAAGGTGTGTGGAGGATGGGAGAGGCCCCGAGAACAGACCGATGGGTGACAGAGGAGACTCTGCAACTGGTGAAGTTCAGGTAACTCAAGCTTGGGGTGGTCTCCCCATCTTCTCCATGCCATGGGCATGGGGGATGCGTCTCCCATGGGCAGTGGCCTTAGTGAGCTCTCCACAGAGGAGCCCCAGCATCCATCCCCCCTCCTGCCTGATGAGATCTGTGTGCTGAAGGATCTCCCATGGAGGCACTCCCATCCCTGTCCCTCATCCCATCCTGGACCACAGAGAGGGAGCCAGCCCTCCCAGCACATCCCACAGGGACGGGGAGAGGCGTTGGGGCAGAAACAACCTG